TAGGGAGGAGGAGACCGCTCTTGTTCGGAGCAGAGCAGCTATCCATGTAATGATGGGCTGTTCGATGCCGAACGATGCTGCTGCTTTCTCCATGGTGCCAAAAGAAGTGTTGTCGAAGGCTCCCTCGATGTCAATGAAGACACCGAGCGTGGCCTCCTTTCTTGCTTTGGCACCTTTGATCTTGCCCACCAGGCGGTGCAGGGCAGTCTCCGTTGACCTGCCGACCTGGTACACGTGCTGAGAGAGGCTGATCGGATCGGTCCTCAGAGCTTCCATTTTGATGTGCCTGTCAACGAGCCTCTCCAGTGTTTTTAGGAGGAAAGAGCTCAGACTGATAGGCCTGAAGGTTTGGGGATAAAGACAACCCTGACCTCCCGCCATTTATAGGGCACATGCCCAAAAGCAAGGCTTGGTCTTAGTATTGGCAGCAACCTGTGCAGGAGCTAATTATTTAAATTTTGAAAGAATTTGAGTAAATCGATCAAATTAAATTTAAATTGTAATTCGAAAGACAATTCACGCTATAAAAATTTTAATTCAATTGAACAATTCGAGATTCATTAATTGCAAAAAATAAATAAATCAGTCTATTTAATTATCAACATTATTCGGAATAATTTCTGTTATTAAAATTTTTCAATTCAAATTAATAATTTGGAAAATTGATTGATTGGATAAATCGCAAGATTGGGAAAAATCAACTAGATTAAATTAAATTCGAAAAAAAAATAAATAATTCGCGCTATAAAAATTTTCAAATTTATTAATTCGGGAGATTTGGGAAAATCTATTAATTAAAAATTCAATTTTTATCTGAAATAGTTCGTGCTATAAATTTTTCAAATCAATGGGATAAATCGCAAGATTTGGAAAAATCAACTAATTAAAAATTCGATTTTTATTAGAAATAATTCGTGCTATAAAAATTCTTTAATTTAATTAAACAATTCAGAAGATTTGAAAAAATCTACTAAGAAAAAAAATTTATCTTTTATTTGCTATAAAATTTGCAAATTAATTAATAATTCGGCGGATTGATGAATTACATGAATCGCAAGATTCGGATAAATTAATTAATTAAAAATTCAGTTTCAATTAGAAATAATTCGCAAAAAAAAATTCAAATTTAATAATCAGCGTTATTAAAGATTTTTTTTTCTTAATCAATTAGAAATTACATAAATCGCGAACTTTCACTTAAATGTTAATAAATTCAACGGACCCCTATCATCGGTTGATGATCTTCCTGTTGTCCTACTCGGCTATTTTCCTTCCTTTAGGGCAGGCATGGGCAAAGTCGGAGCCTCGGGAGCCGGGACCATAAAACTCTATTAGACCCATTATTAAAAATACAATACCCCAATTGCGTGAAGCCCAGTGGGGCGCCGTTAGACAGAGAGAGCACCGCGCGCTTTCCTTTCAAATTTAAAAAACCTTACCGCCTAAACATTCAAACAAATTTTCACCAATTCAACGTGGAAAATCCTCAGTTGTATCAGGGGTAATTCTTCAAACATCATGGTGCCAGAAATTGATTATTTTTTGATTACCGTAATATTGAATAATTATTATAGTAAAAATTGAAAAAAAATGAGATGTCAGTTCTCTAAAATTCAATCAATAAATTATGTATGTAAGTTTTAGAAGTTTATAAGTTTGTTAATATTTATAAGTTTTGCCCACTCTTGGCCAGCACTTTTCATAGCTGCTCAACGGAAACCACGGGAAGGTGGTAGGCGTATTCCGTCAGGAAAACACTTAAAGAAAAAAATGGTGTCATAATATGAAAAAATTCTAGCCGCAAACTCCTTGATCGTTAACGATTAGATCTTTTATCATTTTCTATACCATTTTCTTCTTTCAGTGTCGGAAGGAAAGAAGATTAAGGAATGGGAAGGAATAGCGGAAAATATTAGGAAAATAAGAAAATTGCATGCACAGTAACATAGAAACCCCATGCTCCGATTATTAATAAGCCATGCATCATGCGCCATTGCAGTAAAAATTATTAATGTAAAAAGTGGAACTCCATGGCAGCTGATAATTTTTCTAAATCCGGTGAATAATTACTTATTGCAATTAATATTGAATCTTTGAGAGTAGAGTCCGATAAAATTGTGCAATTTGATGATTTAATTTGATTCATATGTGAAAATGCAGACTCACATAAATATGAAGTACCGAACAAACAGGCAATTCTTGTAT